CTGTCAGGAAGTGCAGTGTGCACTACAGGCCCGTGGTGGCAGAATGTGGCCCACCCACCATCGTCCTGAGCAGTGTCTGCCACACTGGGGGGAGGGGATGTAGGACGAATGTAGACCGTACACTCTGCTGTAGTTCATCTCAACATCTAGAGGTTCTACTTTTATAAATGGTGTCCGGAAGATGTTGTAAATGTATTTTACTTTGACATGGGGAACGAACTTTTTAAGTATATTGAATAATCCCGTATGGTTAGTTTTTAACGTTTTTTAAAATAAACTTTATGAATATTACAAACATTGTTGAAGTGTTTCATTATATTCTAGGTATACAGGTTACTTAGTTTTTCTAATTTCTAGGGCTAATATGTTGAATATTTTTGTCTGAATTTAGTTGAAACTCCATTTAGAGTACTGATTGCCCCGACCCTTAAAACCCTTATGGGAAAGTCGCACAATGACCAACACTTGGAACAGAAAGGTCTCTTCAAGCACAGACCAGTACCAATAGCTGGAAGTTGTCTTTTTCAAGTCCACGTTCAAGATTGTGTCAGTCTTATGTGTGTTGGCCCTTCAGAAAATGGTTACCGATTGAGTAGTCCTCCCTGTGATTCTACTGTGAAATACAGGCTACCCTCTGGGCCCCTTGAGCAGAACGTGTATCTAGTTTTCCTTTTACTATGTCCTAGCATGTGAGTGCATTGGACATGCAAAGGTTTATGGAAATGTTTAGAAAACATTTTTGAATACAGGTAGTCGTCACTGGGGTCTGGCTTTATGTTTGTGATGCACAAACTTCTGAAGTAGCAGCTAGTCAGTCAGTCTGCTCAGCTGACGGAGGAGCTGAGAAGAGAGGCACAGACTGGGCAAGAGAAATCCGATGTTTAGTCACCAGCTGCTAAGAGAGCCCTTGAGCAAGTTGCAGGGAGGTAACCTTACCTTTGTGGGTCCAAGAAGACTTAAAAGTTGTTAGAAGTCTTAAGAGATAAGTAAGAACATTCTAGAAAAGGCGAAAAACTTGAGAAAACTGCCTGCTGATAGTATAGTTGAGCGGATTATAGTGAGTTGTTTGAACAAACCTAAGAAGCAAGGGAGACTTGAGTAAGAAGATCACTAAACTTTACTTTGACGGCCTCTTGAGTTCCTAAAAACCCTGTTGGTGCCAGTGTAAGCATTACAGCTCGAATGGAAAGGTATCCTGGCAGTCGGGAGCCTAGGAATCCACGGTCACACCACACAACCAACCTCACACAAGACATTTATCGGGAGGGAAAAAACCAGGAGGGTGGCTACCTCTGCTCAGGCAAGGAGCTGAACAGAAGGCAGGGTTTATATCGAGTTGCTTGGGAAGTGGGGTGGAACTTTGCAGGGTGACGCTCTCCTGGGTGGGGATTGGTGGGATTTCAAGTCCAAACCTTGGGCTTTTTACACTGGTGTGGGGCAGAGTTCAGCCATTAGGACAGTTAGAATGTTCTGTGGGTGGAACCTGGCATTTGGAGGTCCTCAGGGGAGGGACAGCCGTCCTCTGGGTAGAACTTCAGCTAGTGCAGGAACGGATAGAGTAAAAGTATCCAAACTGCAAAATCCACCCCACCCAACCCCTCCAGGATGAAGAGAGAAAAGGCCATCAGATAGTTCTTTGCCTGAGGCTGACCTGGGGTTACTCTACCCACAGAAAAATGGCCTCTGATCCTGTTTTCCAGACTCCTCTGTAGGGACTCGGGGTGTTTATTACTTGAAGCCACCATTGCTTTCGAGGTGGAGAGTTCGGAACATTTTGCAAGAAGAAGAAAAACAGCTGTTTAGTCATCTTCCAAGGGGACGCTCAGTGAGTTCTCCCGAGACGCTTTCTAGAGGCCCCTGGGAACAATTACTGTTTTTGTTGTGAATCTTGCACTTCCTTGAGTGGCAGCTACAACATAAATGGCATTTGGCCAATATTGGGGAAAATATCCTTAGAATAATAAGCTAAACCTCTGCTAGATGACCAGAAAGGGGCGTCTGATCAAAGGAGAACGTTTGTCCCATTTTGGATAGAAATTGAATCTCGCTTAGGCATGAGAAATGACGCTAACAGGAAGCTCTCCTATTGCTATTTACAGCATCTGTTTGTCAAGATGGTAGAGCATAGGCTACGAAGAAACAGAATCTATGCATCAGCCACAGAGCCAGGGGTGGAACTTCAGGGGTTTTCTTTCCTGTTTTTGTTTCATCTTGCTTTTTATGAGATTTTCGATATGTATTCTTGACTTATCTAGAACCTTCTATGTAGAGCAAGCTGACCCCCAACTTTGTGGCCCCTGCCTTCTGAATGCTGAGATTACATGTTTGCACCATTATGTCCAGCTCCTAAGTTTTCAAACTTATAGAAAATAAGGGTCATGCTAGATGAGGGAGAGAGGAAGCCTGAGCAAAATATTCTTGTAATGAATCGAGCTTGGGCTCACTGGGGAAAAAAAGGAAAAGGGAGTCATTGAATTAACTCAGTATTCCCCACTTAGAAGATAATTGAGTCACAATTATATTGGCTCTCATTCCCAGTAATGATAACTACCCTTTAACAGCTCCAAACAGCACTCCATTTAAATGTGACATTGGAATGAGTTCCACACGAATAACTTGTTGGTAAATTTTGTTATTTCCATTCTGCGTATAGAAGTCTCACTCGGGAGGCAGAGGCAGGTGGATCTCTGTGAGTTCGAGGCCAACCTGGTCTACAGAGCGAGTTCCAGGACAGACTCCAAAGTCACACAAGGAAACCCTGTCTCAAAAAACCAAAAAGGAAAAAACAAAATCTGATGCACGGTCACATGACTAATACATGACAAAGTGGGAATCTCTGGCCATTCTGGCAGTGTGGGCTCCAAGCTGCCTTCCCAGCCCCCCCCCCCAAATCACTTCTACACAGAGCACTAGGACAAAGGTGTAGACTGGATGGACCCCACCTCACGTGGGCTTGTCCGCGTTTCTGCTGGAATCTGGTTTTCTGGCCAAGTTACCTTGTCTAAAATTCTAAAATTCCACATGTTTCCATATAAGATCCATGCTTGAGTTTGCAGAGAAGACAAGTAAGCCCTTGGTAAATCTAGCCTCGCCATGGGAAATGTTTGAAGATGCTCCTGCTAGGAGTAAAACAACTAGGCAGGTGGGAAAAGAAAGCTTAGAAAACGCGAGACAACAAAGAGCTGTCGGTTTGGTCCTGTTTTGTACTTTTACACAGGCGGAAGTAAATACTTAGGATATTTATGCGAGAGAGGGATCCTCAGTATGAGAATAAATTTATCATGCCACGTGTTTCTAAAAGCGCGGTGAGAAAGGAAATCCTTGGCCATGTCCTTAGGTTTCTATTACTTTGATACACACCATGACTAGAAGGAACCGGGGAGAGAAAGACTGATTTCATCTTAGAGCTCACAGACCACCTGGGGGGAGGAGAGCCAGGGCAGAAACCCACAGCGGAACTGAAGCAAGCACCACAGGGAACACTGCTTCTCCCTCTGCATGGCTGTCTCAGCCTGCTGTCTTAGACAGCTCAGACTCACCCGCCTGAAAGTAACGCTGCTCATGGTGGGCTGGACCCTCCCACACCAATCACTAATCAAGGCAACGCTGACAAAGACATGAATGAATGAGTCTCTGAGCTGCACAGCCAGGAAGCTGAAGCTCTGCATCTGAGAAAGAGCTTTGCCTCCTAGGAACTTTTAGCATCTTTGCCTTACTTATTTATCCACTGGACAAACATCTGTTGAACATCAGCTCTTGTCCGGGATGCTCCAGACACTCTGGGTGTGATGGGGAATAACCTATTTACTCTCCATATAGAAATGTGGTATCAGGCACAGGCCTGCATGCTTTCCTTTAAAGGGGCATAAAATACTGACACTTCTACAGCCCATGTAGGTTCAGTCACAACCACTCACTACTGAGGTGGCATGAAAGCGCCCAGGGATGATACAGGAAGGAAGCGACATAGCTGTGCGACTTAGCGGTTTACTTAAAGGAAACAGGTAGCAAGCTAAACAGGGCTAGTCTAGAAGAAAAAGAAAACAGAAGTCAAGCATTGTTTGTGGAACTCTCAGTGCAAAGGCCCCGAAGCAAAAAACTGCTTAAAGTTTTAGAAAACTGGGCTGGAGAGATGGCTCAGTGGTTAAGAGCACTGGCTGCTCTTCCAGAGGTCCTGAGTTCTATTCCCAGCAACCACATGGTGGCTGACAACCATCTGTAATGAGATCTGGCACCCTCCTCTGGGCATACATGGAGGCAGAATGTTGTATAAATAAATAAATCTAAAAAAAAAAAAGTTTTAGAAAGCTGAGTGCTGGCTCATGCCTGCAATCTTGGCACTCAGGACAAGGAGGGTGAGTTACTGAGGCAGGAGGTTAGCCTGGGTTAGAATGAAATCCTATCTGAAAACAAACACCTAAAAGCCTTAAAGTGATTGATGGATGCATGGGGAGAAGGGAATGCCAGGGAAGAGAAGGACTGGCCAGTTGTTTCAAACTTTGCCTGGGACATCTATGACTTGATGACTTTCGCCCCAACTGTCCATCAGTTAGCACTTGGGTTATCTTAAGGATGCGACCGGATTAGGTTTGCATTTGAAAGTGTTCTCACGCAATGTGATGGACGAATTAGGTTGCATTATTGCATTATAATACGTGAGCGCAGACATCCTTCTACATCAGACAATGAGTTCCACAAGGGGCCTAGCCATGTTTTAGAGTAAGTAAATGATACAGGGTCACATGGCATATCTTTTCGGAAGCTCTCTGCTTTTTACCGTTTCTTTTTTGAACAAAGACAGAGTGAAGCCAGGGAAGGTGTTTTGTTTATGTTTCTAGGCTTCTCGCACCAGGGTTACCACTCCTCAGGGTGTGTGCCAAGGGGAGGGAGCCTCCCTTGCTCTGGCTCTTGCCCCACACACCGCTCAGCTTAAGCCTGCAGTCTCGTTTGTATCCAGACCCAGGACCATCTGCCAGATCTGAAAGCATCTCAAGAATGAGATGGATTCACCCGAGAAACTGGATAAGAACAGCTTAGTGGGTAGGTTCCTTCCACCTCTCCGGATGCCCACACGTGTCATTCAGAGCAGGTGTTGGAGCCCTGGAGGGGTGGGATGTGTCACAGGTATACCTACCGAGACTGACTTCAGTTGGGCATGCCTGCAAACCCTGCGCTCTGGAGACTGAGGCAGAAGAATTGCTATGAGTTCAAGACTAGACCCCGTCTCAAAGAGGGGCGGGGCCTTCAATTTCACTTAAAACCGCTTGTTTTGTATTTGCTCTGGTTTTGTTTGGTTTTTGAATGGTGGTCTATAACTCGCCTTGGCTCCCTTTGTGATCAAATAGTCATTTGTTTATCTTTATAGTGCTTTCTTCACTTTACAGAGCCAAGATATGATAGAGGCTGACTTTTCCTTCATCTTCAAACATAGATGATGATGCTATGCCTAAGGAAAGAAGTTAGCTTGTTTTTTTTTTTTTTTTTTTTTTTTTGGTTTTTCAGGTGCATAACTTCAGATAAATGGAGAGAAGCTGAAAGAGTAAGACTTAGCCCATAAGTACCAAACTATGCTTCGTGCTAATGACTGCGATGAATTGGGAAGTGGCTGGTTCTTGTTATCTTCTCAGGCCTGACATTCATAGAGGAAGTCTTGACTATTATTTTACATACAAAGGACTGGGTCTTGGAGTGTTTGGGAGCTGGCTAAAAAGTGATGGTGGTGATGTGGAGGCGGGGAGTGTGTCTGTGCATGGGATTTAAACTAAGTTCTGTAACCTTCAGCTGCCAAAACCATATTTCAAGGTGAAAGCCTTTAGCGCTCCTAATTCAGAAAAGAAAAATAGACATTTAACCGAATTGGAAAATGATCTTGTTTCTTGACGTAGGCATAGCAATACTGATAGCCTAAAGTACTAAATATCATTTGAAAATTCGAGAATAGTTCTTCTCTCGTCATCCAGGTTGTTGATCTCAACAACCTGGTAGCTGAGGGTACCCCTGAACTTCCTGCCTACGCCTCCTAAGTGTCGGGATTGCAGGGATGCAACCACCATGTTCTTTTCTTTATTTTAAGAGACAAGGTCTCTTGTATTGTCAGTAAAAAAGCACAACTCTCATCTCAAAAAGAATAAGAGATAGCTTATTTTTTGAGCCAAATATGAGTGACTGTGGCCGAGGAACATGGAGTGTAGCTGTCCCAAACAATACGTTCCACTGTGGAAATGGTTTATGGAGTTTTCATAGAAAAAAAAAAGAAATCCCTGAATCAAGATGTTCCCTAAGTACGCTGGTGGGAACGTCAGAAAGGGTACAGTGGGGTGGAGGTGGAAGCTGCCAGTCTCTTAAGTGGACTCCTTCCAAAAAGACTAGCCTGATGTTCACATGATGTTGGGACAGAGAGGCGGGCTATAAAGGGGTGATCAGGAGATGAAGGGACCCCGTGTGAATTTTGCTTCTGCACCTACAAATTCTAGACTTCGAAACTCCCCAATTAAGAAAGTCCAACCAACTGATCAGCCTTATGTTGCTTTGCGGGGAGGGGGTAGGAACTTCACTTTACACCGTATAGCTCAGGTTGGCCATTTTCCTGCTTCAGCCTCGTACTGTTCCTATTGTTAGTGTGTGTCAAGCCAGGCCTCACCTTTCTAACCAAGTGGTTCTGCGAGGATTATTGGTTTCCACTTTAGCAGGGGCAGACAGCACCTGAGCCGAGGGTGTGATTGATGCTGTTTCATCAGTGAGGCATCTTAGAGAGTGGCTTTTGTGGTTTGGACTTTTTAGTGAAACGATAAACTTATATTCTTGCAGAACATATTAGACATTTTTGGGGCTTGTGTTTCCTGTGCTGTTGAAATGTATGAGAGGTGCAATGTGGATCTCCTGAGACAGAGAGGCTGAGTTTGCCCTTCTGCTCCAACTCCAATACAGTCAGGATCTAGTGTGCAGACCTCCCAGCAATAGAGTGTGTAGAGTCAGGGGCTGGTGAGATGGATCAACTGTCTCTGCTCTTGCAGAGAAGCTCAGTTCAGTTCTCTGCACCCACATGGTGGTTTACAAGTATCTGTTACTCCAGTTATTGGGATTTGACGCCCCCTTCTGGCCTTCTCAAGCATTGCATAGCCCTGCATTGCCATGAAGGCAAACATAAAATATTCATAGAACATCAAAACATTAAAAAAAAAAAAAAACACCTCAGAACCACTATAATTCCACCACTCGGAGACATTTGCTTTAATTTTCTTCCATAATTCTTTTTATGCTTCTATTTGTACCACTTAGGAGCCCACTGACCGAAGGATTTTATGCCATAATATTTTTTAGGTTTCTATCATTTTATAATGATTCTCAAGTACTTTTATAAACTGTAAAAACATATGCGCAAGGGTTGAACACACAGCTCAAGCTGTAGAGAACTTGCCTAGCATGCACAGACACATACTGGGTTAAATCCTCAGCACAGACAAGGGTATGCACCAGTGATGCCAGCACTGGGGAGGAGGAAGCAGGGGGATCAGAAGTTCAAAGTCATCTCCAGTCACATCTTAGTTTGGATCCATCCTAGGATGCGTGAGACTGTCCACAACTATCTCACAAAATGTATGCAAAAATAGAATATCATGTGTCTGTCTGTCAGGGTGTCTGCTATACACTGGTATACATGGAACTGTTGTGAGGTCATCTGGAGATAAATTTGAAGGACAAAATACCTGTGCTTGTGGGCAGTGCTGTCATTTCAGAGAGAGCGCGCCCTGGAAGCATGGGCGGGGGTTGGGGGGGTGTGTGGGGCCAGAGCAGAAAGATGCAAGGACATCATATCCTCTGTATTTTCTCATAATGATGTGGGGTCGGGTATACAGGAAGGCAGAAACATGAAGGAGAAAAAGCATTGGCTTATGGTTCTTGGACTAATTAGGTCTCGTGAGAGAGAGAGTCTCCCTGATGGATCATTATTTCTGACGCGAGCTTCCAAATAGACCCATAAGGCTAACCCGTTGGCGGAGCATCATTCTGAGACTTCAAAGTGGGTTCGAGGGGACCATCCACTCACTCACTGGCTTCTACTGGGACCCAGGCGGGGAGCCAGGAATGGAACACCCCTCCAGAGTGCTAAACATTCCCAGGGAAGACACAGGAAGCAGCTAAAACCCACAGTGGACCCGAGAGCCTCATGAGTCCCAGGCTGGGGTGCCGCTGCCACATTGGGTCTTTTTCATGAATTGTGGAGCCAGGCCTCTGGAGGGAGGGGTGCATAAGGAGGGGAACTCCTAGGATTCATCACTGACCTGCTCTGGTTCTTTTGTTGTTGTTATTGAGATGGGTGCTGCTGTGTAGCCTAGGATGGACGTGAACTCACTGTCCTGGTTCATCTGCGCACACGCTTGTATTATCAGCATGAACGACTTTGTGCAATTTTAAATGGACAGTTATAAGCAACTTTTCTTTTGCCTCTTTTTCTTCTTCTCCTTCTCCTCTTCTTCTTTCTCCTCCTCTTCTTCCTCCTCTCCATCTCTCTCTCTGTCTCTTGCTGTGCCTCTGTCTGTCTATCTATCTCTTTAATTTACTAAAAGCTAGAGGCAGGGAAGATGGTTCAGGAGGTAAAATGCTTGGTGTACAATCATGAAGGCATGAGTTTAGAAGTCCAGAACCCATGGAAATGCCTGGTAACAATACTGTATGTGTCCATTATCCCAACCTTAGTGCCGATGAGAAGGAGGCAAAGACTGGAAGATTCCTGGGGATCAGAGCCGCTGGCCAGCCAGCATTACCGAAATGGCTACCAGCTCTAGATTCAATGAGAGACCATCTTAAAAACTAAGGACAGACTAATAGATGAAGGCACCGAGCATCCACCTCTGCACGCACAGACCATGCATTTGCACACACATGGACGTACACATGCTCACACACACACACACACACGTTCATACAAACACACACAAAACCATGGACAATTGTCAGGGTCTCACCACCCCACCTGTGGCACTCAGAGTTCCTTTCTGTACTCGCAACTCCTTCCAGCCAGCTGTTGGGATCCTGCAGCAGAGGAGGTTGCTGACGTGGGAGCAGATCAAGCGAATACCGGCATCTCTGAGGGGTACAGCTGTCTTGATTAGAACACGTGGCCACCCGACCCAAGGCCTGGCTTTCCAGCTCTGCTCATGACCTGTCTGCCCCTAGGCTCGTTCTGCTAATGCTCTTTGATGGTTTTCTTTCTGAGCTGGTAAAGCAAGCCTTGAATTTTCCATTTCAGTGTGAGTGGGATCTTAGTTCTTTGTTTGGATCTCCAGTCTTTATGCAATTAAAAAAATTAAAATGAGGTATAAAACAACAATGGGCATAAGACTTAAATGTTTAGCTCGGAAGGGACAGTGGGCAGACTGTATAAAAAATAAGAATCTTGTGAACTCTGAGGCAAACAGCACAGGAAACCATTGTTTCCAACACACACCACAGGAAGCTGCCTGTCTAAGGTTGGTAGGAGACCAGATTGTCACTCCTAGCGACAAATACATGTATGTAAATTCCTGGGAATTGACCTTTAAAGACAGACACAAATTGGTGATGATTAATTTCCTTCTCTATATAAATGTGGAACTGAGAAGGAGGTAGTGAAGGGGAGCTCAAGTCTGAAGCTTTGATATTTTTTCCAGTGAGAACACATGTACAGACTGTATTAATACTAAAAACAATCACTAGTAAATAGGATGTAGTAATGATTCTGTGAGCATATAAACACCCAATGTTTAAAACCTTGATTACATTTCTGTGTGTGTGTGTCTGTGTACCAGTGGAGGTTCCAGAGTGACTTTAGTAGACGGATAAGGAGGGATCAGTGATGACCTGAGCTTCTAACCTGGGCAGGGGCGTGGCTGGGATTGCCAGGGTGGTGTATCTAGCAAGCACAGTTAGTTCTAAGGCTGCAGTGGAAAATGTGCCTCAAATGGAAGGGAGTGGGAGACAAGACTGGAGGTGACTGTCTAGACAAAGAGAACAGACAAAGGACTCAGAGGAGGTAAAAGGACGACTAAAAAGAATTCTAACATGAAAAGGTTGGCCAGATATGCACATTTTTATGAACAAGAAATTATGATTGATGTGACTAAAACTTCAAAATGTTGAGTTGTTGAAGGAGGACTTAAAATAAGCTTCCTCTTATTACAAAGCAGTTTGATAAGTCCCTAAATGTTCTATCACTTGTAAGCGGGAATAATACGACACACACAGAGAGACACACATACAGATACACACACACATATATACACACACACACACAGATATGGACACACAAATGTGCACACGCATACAGATACAGACAACATACATACACACACAGGTAGATAGACAGAGGCACACATGCAGACATAGACATACACACTAATGCATGGATTATCATTTATCAGGTCTTCCAAAGTAGGTAACTTCAATCCCTATCTTACTGATGAAGAGAAGACGCAGTCTCTTTTGGAACGGGCTGTGTAAATCTCTGGAGTCGGCACATGAGAAACCTTGCACAGAAACTCACACCCAGGGGTTCTCCGATGTTTTCCCTCATGCTCAGCATTGTCCTCCCGAGGGATGATAGCGCCTCCCTGCCCTTCTCAGGATTTGTTTTGAATTTCATGTGGAGACTTCAAGGAACCCATGAATCTGCTAGCCCTGGTGTGAGTGGTTCATGGACATAATCCAAGGCATCTTTTCCTGTTGGATAATGATAAACCATGCTGGCCTTACAAAAACATAATGATGATTATCACTGCTGATTGTCGGGAGAGTTCTTAGAAGGGAAGATCGATTTTAATTTCTAAGCACCTCCCCATAAAAAAATTTTGAGTTACTGCATGTGTGTATGTGGTATGTGTGTGCGGTGTGGTGTGCACACAACTGTTTGTAACTATACTCACGGTGTGAATGGAGTTAGGTTTGCTCCTCCATCCTGTCAGGCGGAGGCAGTGTCAGGACCTAGTCCCTCCTCACCTACCCTGCCTGATAGCTTTGCTAAGAATCACTTGCACTACAAACTTACCCCTTTCTCACTTCCCAGGCATCAACAAAAACCGGCTTGGTGTGTGTGGCTGGATTCTGTTTTTCCTTTCCTTGCTACTAATGCTCATCACCTTCCCCATCTCCATATGGATGTGCTTGAAGGTAAGGCCCTGGGAAAGAAGTGGGCGTCTCCCTGCGGACTGATGGGAAGACTGAAGCTTCTCCCTTAATCTTTCAGATCATTAAGGAGTACGAGCGTGCTGTTGTCTTCCGACTGGGACGCATCCAAGCTGACAAAGCCAAGGGACCAGGTAGGAGACTGCGGATGGCTGTTACCACCAGCCATGGGATCTAGGGAATGTCCAAGGAGAAAACACAGAAAGCTGGAGACCTTGTTTCTCAGGCAGCGGATGATGTCGGTCCATTGGGCTTGTTAGTGGGAGAGACGGCCAGTTAAAGCATTATGCAATCTGAACCTCTGCCTCATAACTCACCCCCGAGTAGTCCAGTGAATGGGTAACATTGATTGGATGCCATTTATGCCCAGGGCTGTGAAGAGCCAGGTCCAGGGAGTGAAGGAAGAAAGTGAATGGGCATGTGGACTGTTCAAGGAGCTGGATTTTTATTATCTTTGGAAAGGGCTACACACACATGCACATGCACACACACATATGCATATGCACACCATATATATGCATATATATGGTGTCACTTTATAATACATATATATATATATATATATATATATATATATATATATATCTTCCTCTTGTGGTGAGCTGATGAATAATTGGAGGAGTTGAAGTCAGATGTGATTCCCTGGGTAGAATTCTCTAGTTTGGAGAATGAAGACCTTGAGGCCAATATAGATTTAATGACTTATCAGTGAGTATCCCAATGGCTGGCAGTAAACAGGAGATTCCCAGCATCCAATTCCAGGTGCATTTCCCTCCACGCTCTCTACAACTCTGGGAAGTAAAATCGGTTACCAACTGTTCAGATTATAAGGTGACTTCTGGCTGAGGGAGTGGACGGGAGGTGTTGAATAGTAAGGAGCCCTGGACCTGAGGTCTTGAGCCACAGCTTCTCTGCAATCACAGATTGCTTGCACTTGTTTTGATGTATAACAATGACAATTTCGTATGATTAATATTATGGTTAGGAAGGATAGTGGCCGGTAGCTTTATTTCCCTGATAGCATTTGCTTTCTGCCCAGCTCCTATGCTTTGAGGGAAGGCTGTTTTATCTCCATCCACACTGTAACATCTGGGTTGGGGGAACAGGAGCCTTATATGCGCGGTGAGACTCTACCTGACCACAAATCAACAACACTGTGTGCTCTTTTACGTTACATTAAAAAAAAAAATGAGAAACTTCCCAGGATAATTTTGTGAATGAGCCTTGACCTTCAGATAGCTTAACGGTTGTCTAACTTCATAACCAACCTAAGAGAAGAAGACAAGCATCACTTCTTGTGGATGTCTTTATACATGTGTCAGGACACCAGTGTTAGAGACTCTGCCAATGAAGAGTCACTAAGCCCTCTCTTCCGTCACACTCCCCATCAATGGGTCCAAGGTTATATTGGTTATAAGTGAAACTAGAGCCCGGAGGTGTGGTGCACACCTTTAATCCCAGCACTTGGGAGGGAGAGGCAGAAGCAGAAGCAGGCAGATCTCTGTGAGTTTAAGGCCAGCCTGGTCTACAGAGCAAGATTCAGGGCAGCCAGTGCTGTTATACAGAGAAACCCTGTCTTGAAAAACCAACCAACCAACCAAACAAACAAACGAATAATGAATAAGTAAACCTAGAGCAGGGAGAGAGGCAGAATAGCCATGACTTGGAGAACTCCAGAGGAGAATGTGTTCTTCTTAAATGAATTCTCCCACAAGATTTCTCGGCTGAGAGTCCCAGGATAATAACCCCCGTCATGCATGTCTCTGGGGCTAACGGTTTACCTCAGAACATCATGAGGGCCAGTGGGAAGCAAGCCAAATTGCTAAGGCCTTTGCAAATGGCAAATGATCCTTTAGTAATAAAAGTGTTAACGAGAAGAGCAGTCATATCCAGCACTTTGTGTTGTGCTTGGCATGATGCTTGGTACTTAATTTGTTGTCATGGTGACCTGTGCTTCAGCTTCACCACATCTTCTGTGTCGTCGGTAAAGCTCAGGAGGGATGGGTGAGCGGTCCAAGACATGGCTGGGTTGGCTGACACTGAACTCAAGGTAGTTCTCAGGATTCAAGAAAATTTAGAGAAAAAAGTAAAGCTTGAAATAATATGAACAAATGAGCAAAACCACCGTGTACTCAGTCCATGTCGTCGGCTCTTCACTCGACTAAAAGCTGATTTCTGCCTTAAAAGTAAAGGCGGTAACACAAAGACGCCCTGATTATGGAAATGGCTACCTGTCCAAACCTTGCTGTTCTGCCTCATAGCTGTGATCCCCGTAAAGAGTGAACACCTCTGGGGTAAAGCTGGGGACCCGGTGTTCTTAGATGGGTTTTTTTACTTTGCCCTTTCCTGGCCTGCTCCAAGTCCAGTACTTACTACTCAGAAACAGAAATGATTGCACGGGGGGGACATCATTGTACTTGAACACAGCTAAAGAGACAGTGAGTTCTCAGCTCTGTGGTTCACTGTTTGCAGGGACTCTGAGCCCTGGAAGACTGTGCTAGCCAAGGGCCAAGCATTAACACATATATATGTTTTTGAGTATGTACGTGTGTGCATATACATATATAAAATGTATTTGAAATAAACTCTAATTTGTCTAAGCTGCGTTTGGATTCCTTATGTAGCCCAGGAAGGGCTTGAACTTGTAATTCACCAACCTCAGCCTCCTTCCTGAACCTGAGACTGGAGGGAAGATTTTAACACCAACTAATTCCTTCAACACTGTTGGTGATGCGGGGGCTGTTGTCAGTAGCTGATAATCACAGCCCAGCTTGACTCTTTCCAGTTAGCAAACCATTTTCCTAGATACCTGTTTAAAATTAGCCTCAAAAATAAATGGTCAAATAGAAGTAGATTACCGAAGAATAGAAAATGTAAAGACTTGTGTGTCGGGGACCTTAGCGTTTTGCCGCAGGTCCTTGGTTCCTAAGTAGTTCATTTCCTTTAATTACTGGATGGCCAGATTCAGTCACCTTCACCAAAGCTGCATGTGTTCATTCAAGAAATGCATACAGCACTACAAAAGCAATGCTCAACCCCTGTAGAAGACCGTCTTCGTCATTCTTTTGAACAGGTCAAATTTTAAATCAGTTTTCTTTTTTCAAAGGTTTGATCCTGGTCCTGCCCTGCATTGACGTGTTTGTCAAAGTAGATCTGCGAACAGTCACTTGCAACATTCCTCCACAAGAGGTACAAGATCAAACAGGGGTTGCTAAAAACAAAACCCTATGGTCTGGGCATAGTTTTAACCTACCAGGGGAAGGTGACTTAATCCCCATCCTCTACCCCCATCCCCCCCCCCCCCCGGGGGCCTGCTTGAAATGCTTCAGGTGGCTTCGGTTAGCCAATGAGAATGAATCGGAAGGGCGGGGCTGAAACATTGAAAAAATGGAACAGCAGGTGGAGTCGGGCTGTGCGCTGTAGGGAAAGCGGGATTAGCTGAGGGAGACGCGAGGGGCGCAGCAGGGAAAGTTGAGTGGAACGCGGTGGAGAGCGTGAGGGGGAGGTGGTGGAGCGGTGGGGGTGGTGTGTGTGAGGTCAGGCTGCACTCTCCACAGCCTTCCCAGAGGGGCTTTTAGAAACAGTGGAGCGCTTAACTTTACTTTTGCCGTTCACTTTTGGTGTCTCTGTGTACGTACCGGGACAGAACAGACGCTACACAGGACCCGCCTGAAGTTGAACTTCAAATGGTTCTTGAAGTCGTATGCATTAATGACCCAAAGCAGAAACTGGGTCATAGAGAAGAGGAAATGACACCGACAAGCTTTCCAGCTGCCCTCTTATAACCAAAGGCATCTAGAAAGAAAAGAAAACGCAGGAAAGATGGGGCATGGCCAGAGCGATAAGCAGGCAGGGAACCAATCAAGGCCCAGGTACCTACCAGTTGCCACGGGCTGTCAGGAGACGTGGAGGACCGGCTTCAGATCCGAGCCGTCGCAGACGCTACTGGAAAGCTTCCAAAGGCTTTTGTGGCTCTGCAGTGGACAGTTTTCGGGTTCTAATCCCAGGGTCCTCCCAGAAATATCTTTAAAAGAGAGGGAAAGGGAGGGGAAGGGTGGGGGAGAGGGAGAGAGAAAGGAAGAGATCACTGTTCAGAATGACTGCTTACTGGATCTCAAGAGCGCAGTTGCTTTGCTTGAATATAGAACACGGTCTCTGGCGCCATCTATGGTTCCTAAGAAGTATTGCTTCTCCTTTAGTCCGAGGGGATCTGCATACCAGGTAGACAACAGGAAGCAAATCTGTTTGGAAGGAGAAGAGAGGGCTTTTCCCTATGGGATGTAAGAAATCTCTAAATTAAAGCTACAGGGATAGGTAGGGACCAAACCTGTGCAGTCAATGGTAAAGTAAGATACACGTGGTTTCACTCTGTGCTCTGCAGATCCTCACCAGAGATTCTGTGACCACCCAAGTGGACGGAGTTGTCTATTACAGAATCTACAGCGCTGTCTCAGCGGTGGCCAACGTGAATGATGTCCACCAAGCCACATTTTTGCTGGCGCAAACCACTCTGAGAAACGTCTTAGGGACACAGACCTTGTCCCAGATCTTATCTGGGCGAGAAGAGATCGCCCACAGCATCCAGGTAAGGACACGGAGTACGTGGAGCCTGCATCTCGGGGATCAGTGACCACTAACCCACTGACATCCATAGTTCTTAGTTCTGTGTGTGTGTGTGTGTGTGTGTGTGTGTGAGAGAGAGAGAGAGAGAGAGAGAGAGAGAGAGAGAGAGTTCAGGTTGGCCTTGAATTCACTACTACCGCCGCTGAGGATGACCTTGAACTTGTAATTCTTCTGCCTTTATCTCGAGTGCTGAGATTACAGGCTGGCACTACCACGCCCAGTTTTATATGGTACTGGGAATCAAACCCAGGGCTTTCTGCCTGCTAGGCAAGTTCTCTACCAACAGAGTTCAAACCCCAGCTCAAGATTTGTTCACAAAACCTTCAGGAGATTCACTTCAATTCCAAATGTCACCAATGAGTTTAGAAAAGAGAGCCCCACCAAACACACCGGATACGTGAGGCGGGTCACATGTCTTTTGATCAATGCCTCTTCTTCTGGATACAGACCTTGCTTGATGATGCCACTGAGCTCTGGGGGATCCGCGTGGCCAGGGTGGAAATCAAAGATGTCCGGATTCCTGTGCAGCTGCAGAGGTCCATGGCAGCCGAGGCTGAGGCCACCCGGGAAGCCAGAGCCAAGGTAAGAAACATTGGGTTAGCATGGTGGCAGACAAGGATGGAGCCGAGGGGAGGGTAGAATCCCAATGATTGTTCCGAAAGAGATTTTTTCCACTGATTTATCTCTCCTGAGAAGTTCCCTAAAAGACAGTGGGCAGTTTGCCACACCTTGAGGAAGGTTGGTAACAAGTTACGACTCTGCTTGCTGCATGTGGAGTGATCAGCAAGGAAAGGCAGGGAGCAACACTGGTCATGTATCAGGTCTTGTGGAGACTGTGACTTAGCAAAGCCTTTCAGATCCTGTGAGGCAGAGCCTGGAGTCGTCCAGGGACCACCATCGTTATAAAGCTAACGTTTCCAGAGTGACCAGTGTAGTGCTTATGTTTTCAACATTGTTACTAGAGTAGGATAAATGTTACTGAATTTAAAAGATTGTCGGAATACAAGCCAGGTCAGAATTAGAACTCAGGCTGGGCCTGAGTTTCCATGAATCTGTTGCCACCTTTGTTCTGCATGGATAGATTTACTGGTGTCAGAGACTGGAAATCTTCAAGTATGACTCTTAAAGTAAACAGAGGCTGCCTGTTCATTTCCCAGCCACCCGGACCTGAATAATAACACAGAATTTATATTACTTATAACACTGTTTTGCCAATAGCTTAGGCATATTCCTAGCTAACTCTTACATCTTAATTAACCCATTTCTATTATTCTGTGTATTGCCACAAGGCTGTGGCCTACCAGTAAGGTTCTGGCTGGCGGCTGGCATCTTTCTCCTTTGGCAGCTACATGGCATCTCTCCTACTACGCCTACTTTCTCTCTATATCTCTGTTCAGATTTCCTGCCTGGCTTTACTCTACTAAGCCATTGCCATTGGCCAAAACAGCTTCTTCAATAACCAATGGTAATAAACCATATTCATAGCATACAGAGGGGAATCTCACGCTATATTAGGAAGCCAAACTAAGGCTAAGGAAGGTTTTCTCTACCCTTGGTCTTCCTTGTTTTGTCTACTGAGTGCCAGCATTTCCTAAGTAGGACTCCTTTGGCACATCAAAAGCAAGATGGGTCAGTCGAGCCCTGGCCAGGGTTTCTCTTGAGTAACCTCAGAATTTAGAGGGACAGTCAGGAGAGAGAGCCCCAGTGAGGGTTATCGGGGTGGGGCTCGTTACTGCTGTGATCAAAAGCTGAGCGACTAGAAACAATTCTGGCGCTGTGAGAATGAGCCTAATTTGGCGACAGAATACAGCGAGAGTACGAGCGCTTGTTGTGCAAGCCTGACTCCCTGAGATGGGTTCCGATCACCCACAACAGGGGCCAGCTGGCTCCCGAAGACTCTCAGGCCTCCACGTGCCCGCTCTCAGACCAAGTTTTCATTGGCTGAAATGGCACCGCTTTTATCTGCTTGAAAGTAAAATTTGAGGGCTAACAATGTGTAAAATATTTAGCCCCAGGGCCCTAGTCCACGCCTCTGTTGCTGTGACAAACCCCACAACCAAATTTAACTTGAGGAGAGAATGGTTTATTTCAACCAAGGCAGGGCCTGATGCCGAGGCCCTGGAGGAGTGCCGCTTACTGATTTCTTCCTCATGGCTTCCTCAGGTTGCTTTCTTATACAACCCAGGACCATCTACCCAGCGATGCCACTGCCAGAGTGGGCGGGGCCCTCCCGTGTCAATCATTAATCAAGAAAATGCCCCATAGACGTGCCCACAAGCAGTTTAGTGGAGGCAATCCCTCAGTTAAGGCTCCTTCTTCCCAGACGACTCTACTTTGAGTTAAGTGAACAAAAAAAAAAAAAAAAAAAAAAAAAAACCCAAACACAACTAACGGGAACATTCGCTTTTTGCAGCTTCTTGAATGTGAATATCTTGTCTTTGTTTAGAGAGTAAGCGGAGAAGATACAAGTAGCATAACTGGGACCCACACCCAGAAAAAGAAGCCCCAGATACCATGCAGTCATCAACTTTTGTTTCTCTCATTTTAGGTCCTTGCGGCTGAGGGAGAAATGAACGCATCTAAGTCCCTGAAGTCGGCTTCCATGGTACTGGCCGAGTCCCCCATTGCCCTCCAGCTGCGGTACCTACAGACCTTGACCACCGTAGCCACTGAGAAGAATTCCACCATCGTGTTCCCCTTGCCCATGAACATGCTCGAGGGCATTGGCGGCATCAGCTATGACAAAAAGAAGGTCGACAATAAGAAGGCCTGAGCTCTCCCAAGTGACTGCCTATTGCTTAGAGAGGCCTTTCTGTGCCATGAGAGGTCAGCCATTAGAAAAGACAGAGGCCAGCACCATGCCGCTACAGTAACGCCACAGCTAGCAGGCTTTCCGGGGGGAAACATGGCAGCTACACAGACAAAAACAAAGCTGAGAGCTGCACAGTACATTTCTTTCTAAGGCATAACTAATATTTAATATTCTTACGCGATTAGTTAGTAGTTGTCCCTGACAACCAGCAGGGCCTTTCTCTCAGATGGGGTGGAGACTGTGGGAGACTTTGGCAAAAACTTCAGATTTAAGCTGTGTTGGAGAAGGACCCTAGGTCATTTGTAAAGGAAAGCAGGGCCTGCATTTTTGCTATGTATGCGATTTACTGTTATTCCAAGAAATTGACTTGCTGTAGCTCAAGTAGACATAAGGAAATCCTTCAAGATTGAAAATTAGGCTCAGTTTGGATGGGGAGCTGCGACGTAGCAGCAAAAGCACAGGGCATAGGTGCCAGCTGAGGTCCCGCTCTCCGAACACCCTGCAGGTCCTGTTAGGGTCTGGGCCATTCTCATCATCATGCGCATTTATTGGCATCAGAGGAGCAGCGAGGCAGAAAAGCACAGGGTAATTTTCGTACTAGCCAGAACATCTGTAACCACTGGGGATGTCATTCCGTGAGTCGCATGTTTTCACTCTGCGAGTCCCAAGAGCCATAGTGATTAAGAGCTGTTTGTAGTCTCTCCCCAACTCCAACAACTTGTTGTGAATAAAGAAAGTCATAGAAAGTGATCATGGTTTAAAGATTGCGTCGGTGGAGTTCATTTCATTGCCGAGATGTGATTTTCTTTTTGGGATTAGTTTTGAGAAATGAGGTCTATTTTATTTTATTTACTTACCTATTTATTTGGTTTTGGTACTCACTATGTCATGCTGGTGGATCTGAAACTTGCCCTTAATCCCAGCACTCTAGAGGCAGAGGCAGGAGGATCTCTGTGACTTGGAGGTTGGCCTGGCCTACATAGAAAGTTCAGGAAAACTGGAGCTACATAGTGAGAGCTTAAACAAAATGAAACAAAGCAGACAAAAGAGCCTCCTGCAGATTCAAGTGACTCTGTCTTTGATGACATTAAGGGTGATTTTCTTTTTTCTTTAGTGCATTTTCTAGTTTATGCTTTTACTATTGACTGACTAAACAAAGACCCTCTGAAGATCAATAAGTGTGCTTGGTGATAACGAGGCTGTAGAAGAATCACAGAGTGTAGACTGCCAGGATGGCATTCAAAACACCCCCACCCCCTCCACTGGGCCTAGGGTAAGGTCCTTTCCCTGGGGGAGAGGAAGGGAAATGGCAAGTAACCTCTCTCCTGCGATGCCTCCCGGGAGGCACAGCCATGGATTGCATCACTCTTGAAGAGGGCAAAGAACCCTTGTCAGCCAAGTCCTTTGCCTTACCAGCTACCCTCTGATATTTCGGCTTCTTAGGTACCCCCCGCACGGGCTCTGGGTTCTTATGTCCCCAAAGAATTGAACAGTGGCCTACTGATGCATCAGAAGTGGGGCCGGATTATTGAGAAAATAATCTTGTTGGTAGAGCATTTGCTTAGCATGTGTGTGGCCCTAGCTTTAGCCACCACTATTGTGTGTGTGTGTGTGGGGGGGAGCCCGCAAAAGCAACCCCAAAATTAAATGAGGGTGTATGTGCATTTCTCATTCTAGGGAGATGGCCAATAGCTGAGCTGCCCCAGGTAGGGTTACAAGATATGAAATGGACAAGTGAACAAAATTCACAACAAGGCAATGTGTTGTGTGAAATCTGAGTTGTTCTGACTCTCGGTAGCAGCCTGTACAGTTATACAAGAATGCTCTGTGTAGCTAAACGTGGAATAATTTTTGTGTGTGTGTGTGTGTGTGAATTTGAATTGTACCTTTCCCGGGTGCACCTTGCTGGTAGCATCTGGGCTAAACAACACGGTCCCCTCCAGCCAGATGTCTACCGGTTGCTCACATTCACAACCGTTAAGGCAGCTGTGTCTGCAGGAGGTAAGAAAAGCAGAAGGCAGACAAAGATGTGTATAACAATTTTGACTCAGTAGTCAGTACGTTTTTCAGGGCTGTTTCCAAATACCTGGTGAAGGGAACAGAAGGAAGAAAGAAGCGAACAGGAGCAGAGAGGTGACTGCCAGTGCTCAGCGGGCAGGCTAGAACCCTCATCCACGTGATGCCCACGTTCAGGGTAGGTCTCCGCTCTCAGTCAAACCTCTCTGGAAACGCCCGCACGCACAGGCTCAGAGTTGTTTGTCCTAGGGGCTTCTAAATTCAGTTAATCTGACGGTGAAGATTAAGAATCCCGAGGTCTAAGGAAAGATTGGGACTGGAGCCATAGTTCGACCTCTTCCTTTTGCGCATGCCCCCTTAAAAGACCCTGCCCCTGGTAATGACTCTGGATACATCTCCGTCCTGCTCTACTTCCTTGGGATTTAGCCCTCCATTGTTTTTTCACTGTTTTTGCTGTTTTTCAGCTTGTCGCATTTACATTGTGGGTGGCACCTTACACTGAAATACACTTTGGATTGTTGTGAGGGAGGGACAGTTGTCAAAGATTACCGGTAAGCTTCTGATGGGGCGGGATTCTGGCTTGGTTGAAGCAAGGGGGGAGCTGGCACACGTGCACCTTCATCCTTCTACCCCCATCCATCCCTAGTTTCTCCTCTAGTCATGTGTCTCGCCTTAGCTTGGGGTTTTTCTTAAACTTGGGAGTCTTTGCAGTGATTGTAAATTCACAGCAGGAAGGTCACATTTCTACTCTCTGTACACTGTTGCGTCTGGGTTCCTGTGGCTCTCTGGTCCTGGTGCTTCTGGTTTCCTGTCTTTCTCTGGTCCTGGTGCTTCTGGTTTCCTGTCTTTCTCTGGTCCTGGTGGTTCTGGGTTCCTGTTTCTCTCTGGTCCTGCTGGTTCTTGGTTCCTCTCGCTCTCTGGTCCTAGTGGTTCTGGGTTCCTGTCTCTCTCTCTCTGGTCAGTTCCTTGTTCTCCCGTCTTCTTCTGTTGCCGTCTGGAAGGCCAGGCTTCCCTCCGCAGAGGGGAATTTTCCACTGCAAAGGCTGGTTGTCACTCTTTCTAGAAGCCTGATTGACTGAGCATTTCTGGTGCTCACAGCTTTTCCACTGGCAGATGGTCAATTTTGTTCCTCATCTTTAAGATGTTGAAGGTGCTTTGACAACACAGTGAATTTCTTTTCTTCTGTTTCACCTTCTTCAGCATGGTCCCCACTTTTAGAATTGTACTATGGTACCTGAAACATATGCTTGCAGGTATTATTATGACTATTATTATTATTAAATAGTGGTGACTTCATGTTAAAAGGTTAAGCCATTTGATATAGAGGAAATCAGGGTCCTCTTTGAGGGCTCTTCGTCTTATTAATAACATAATTTTAGATGAAATTAATGGAAGCACAAGGACAATTTTATTAGAGTTTACAACACCCCCCCAAACAAACAAACAAACAAACCCAGAGAAGATAAACTTTAAACTTCAGTTGCTGCCCAGAGAAGTAGGATATAGAAATGAAAAGTCCATGCGGTTTAAGGTAGCATGGGAGATAGACTCTCGGAGGGCAGGCAGTCACAAGGCAGGGACGATGGTTTTGGTGTAGGGAACCTTGGAGTGGGCTAAAGACCCCCAGGACCAAGTTCTCAGCACAAACAAGATTTATGAATGGAATGAAGGAAAGAAGCAACAAAAACAGGAGAAAGAGAACCGGGGAGATGAGAAGGGAACAAGGGAGAGGGGGAATGGGGGACAAAGGAGAGGGGGAATGGGGGACAAGGGAGAGGGGGAATGGGGGACAAGGGAGAGGGGGAATGGAGAACAAGGGAGAGGGGGAATGGGGGACAGGGAGAGGGGGAATGGGGGACAAGGGAGAGAGGGACAAAAGGGCATTTGTCTGAGGGGGGCTAGATAAAGGACTGTCTCTGGATAGAGAGGAGACAGACATAGCCCATAGGCAAATGGCAGTTTATAAAGGTAAAAGGGGAAACTCTATGTTAGGATGAGGTGTTTAATTTTAATTGAGCATATTAATTAGGTGAGCCTAAGGGGGCTTTTGATTGCTGGATTTCAGTACTTTGATAGCTAGACCTTGGTAGTCAGCCTCAGGAGGAGGAAATGACCAAATAAGGGAACAGACCCTGGTGGCTACTTTTAGGAATGCAATCGAAAGGTTTTTTAGCAAGGCAGAGAGAATGGGAGAGAAGGGCAGGCCTGCCAGAGCCACGTTTGCCAGGCTAAGACTGGCTGGAGTCCCTTCATTTAGCCAGACATGTTGAGGGGAAATTTGAAAATAAGAAAAATCATCTCAGAAAAGAGTCAGAAGGAAGGAAGTCGCACTTGCCTATGACTTAAAGCGGGCAGACTTATGACTCTTATTTGGCTGTGGCCCCATAAGCTTTGGCACGGGGTGGGGATTCTGGGAAGGAGAGTAGTGTCGTGTTAAAAGATTAATTATTCCACCCATCTCTTTAGCAATGCTTAGGGTGAGCTGACCTTCCTAGGGCTGATCCCTTAGCAAAGTGATTGACCTTCTCCAACTGGAATGTATGCCCAGGCCAGAGACTCTATTCTCGTGGCCAGAAGTTTTATCTACGCTGACAGAAATATCATTTGCATATGTGAAGTCTGGATAAGGGTGCCCAGTCTACACTGGTAGTAAGGACCAGAAGGTGGATTTGTCCTCATCAGTAAAGCTAGGTCAGGTTTCCTAATCACAGCAGGGTATAACCACCTGCAACAAAGGCCTGGTGAGTTCACATTTGTTTCATTGAAACAACCAAGGAGGCCTTTGGCTGTATCTTGCTACAGTTGGTGGACAAGCCCCTGGACCTGTGAGTTTATCTTGCTAAGAGACAGAATATGTTTGCTACCTGTTTCAGAAAGACAGTGGGAGTCATACACTCACCAACGGGCACGTGTGAGTCCCAATCCAGAACCAGAATGCTATTCTTAGCAGCTTGCAGGAGTTTTTTTTTCACTTAAGTACAAACAAAAGCGACAGGAAGACATTGCAATAAACTGGTCGTCTGAACACAAGTGGTACGGACTTTTATTTATATTAAGCACAGGATATAATCTGAAGCAGAACAGCTGTGGCTATAGTACAAATAACAGGAGGAGTTATTTAAGACATGGGTTTAAGAGTGCATGGCTCCAAACTATTTGCATAATTCGATTTTCAGGAATAAACTTTAATATCCAGCAAATATGCAGTACTTTAGCAAAGGCACAAAGCAATGAGACCCTGTCAGCGTCTGAAGCATCCTCACCGGAAACAGGGAAGGCTACAAATAATTCCATGACCCAGCTGTGCCTCTCAGTGATAGATAAATGCATGCTTGCTAACGTAGTGGAAGTCACCTTGGAGGGGAGGACGTCCTTGATACAATTATAAAACACAGTCCTTGTCCAGGATAAAGCTTTGTTTTATACATAAATGGGCCAAAACCGAAAAAAAAAAAAAAGAAAAGCAAAAAAACAAAAAACAAAAAGACAAACCAAAGAAACCTTGCTGGAAGCTTAAAGTCCCATCACAGGAGAAGACCGCTGAGCATTGTGTGTGGTAATGTGAGCTACCGTACAGAATTTATGTTTTTTTCTAATCCAAGACCAACTTTCTACAATGTCATTTTTATTAT